AAAAATTTTTGCAGTTTACCCATCTGACAAAGGGCTGATATCCAGAATTTACAGGGAACTAAAACAGATTTACAAGAAAAAAACAAACAAGTCCATTCAAAAGTGGGCAAAAGATATGAAGACACACTTTACAAAAGAAGATATACATGAGGCCAACAAACATATGAAAAAATGCTCATCATCACTGGTCATTAGAGAAATGCAAATCAAAACAACATTCAGATACCATCTCACGCCAGTTAGAATGGTGATCATTAAAAAATCTGGAGATAACAGATGCTGGAGAGGATGTGGAGAAATAGGAACATTTTTACACTGTTGGTGGGAGTGTAAATTAGTTCAACCATTGTGGAAGACAGTGTGATGATTCCTCAAGGACCGAGAAATAGAAATTCCATTTGACCCAGCAATCCCATTACTGGGTATATATCCAAAGGATTACAAATCATTCTATTATAAGGACACGTGCACACGAATGCTCATTGCAGCACTATTTACAATAGGAAGGACCTGGAACCAACCCAAATGCCCATCAACAGTAGACTGGATAGGGAAAATGTGGCACATATACACCATGGAATATTATGCAGCCATCAAAAATGATGAATTTGTTTCCTTTGTAGGGACATGGATGAACCTGGAAACCATCATTCTCAGCAAACTGACAGAAGAGTAGAAGATCAAACACCACATGTTCTCACTCATAGGCGGGTGTTGAACAATGAGAACACATGGACACAGGGAGGGGAGCACTACACACTGGGGTCAGTTGGGGGGAAATAGGGGAGGGACGGTGGGGGGTGGGGAGCTGGGAGAGATGGCAGGGGGAGAAATGCCAGATGTAGGTGATGGGGAGGAAGGCAGCAAATCACACTGCCACGTGTGTACCTATGCAACAATTTTGCATGTTCTTCAATGTACCCCAAAACCTAAAATGTAATAAAATAAATAAGTGGGGAAGAAAAAAAATGAGATGCTGCAATATCCCAAGGTGGACCCACACTCTCACTTGTGCGACTGCAAGGGCAGCCCCACATGGTAGCACATTGAGGCACATGTATCCTCAGGTGTGTGGGGAAGGTGCTGGGTCGGCAAAGGCACCGTATGATTATAGCACGCCTCCCTCAAGGTTCATATTTCTCAGAGATTTAGTAGGAGGCAATATTATTTTTACATTAAAACCAAGACAGATTTGCTTGGGAGCAAATTAAAAAGACATGGAGGTTTAACACAAAACAAGAATGAATTTTGAAGCTTCCAACAGGCCCCAGGGCATACATTCACAGCTCTTTACAGTTAGGGGTGGTTCCAATAGAAAGGCTGGAGAAGTGCTGCCTTGGCCCCCAGAGCCTGGGTGACACCAGTGTGCCTGGAAGCCCACTCCAAGCTTGAGCACAGCATCATCTTCAAACTTTCACGGGGTCATTGCACATCTCTTTTCCCTATGCTAGGATGGGACTGTGTGCCAGGCTGGGTGCCAAGCCCTTTGCATACATTTGGTCTTCACTGGGGTCCTATGGTAAGAGCTATTATCCCATTTTACAGATGACAAAACCAAGACACAGGGATTTGAGGTTCCTGTGAGTGAGTGCCAGAGGCAGAAACTGAATGCTTGATCTGTTTAGCTCTTTAGTGTGCAATTCCAGCACCTACCCTGTGGGAATGCTGGCTAGGCTGCTCCTTAGCGGTGAAGCGATGGGAGTGCAGGAGTGGAGCGGGGCTGGAGAAATCTCAGTTCTCTGATTCAGAGCCTGAATTGTAAGGGCTGAGTAATATCAGTGGTGGTGTACCACGATTGCATTATCAATCTGCCTTTACAGAATCCAGGAGATATTCCACTGTGCACAGTTTGACCTAACTCTATAATTATATTTCAAAGTTTTATCATTTTGCCCAGTCGTGGTGGGCACCATAATGCACTCCATGGCCCAAAAGAGGAGGTCCCAGATAAATACATTGCTTGGAGGTTTTTAGGTCTTTTGTGCTTCTAAGACAGAATATGGAGAAGGAAGACAATTTTTTTTTTTTTTAGGTTAGAGAAACTTGATATTACATTTATTTTTCTTTAAATACATAACTTTCTGTCACCCTCACCCACTGCAGGGAGGAATAGAAAAAATCCCCACGCCCTTCCATTCTGGGGATTTCGTATCTAAAGCCTGAGAGGTGAGGAAGAAGTATAAAAATACTACTTACAAAGAGAAGGAGGTATCAGTTGCTTAACGGTAGATACCCCCATCCCTATGCCCCTTTTGATCCAAAGTGGGGGAGGGGAAAGGCCCCTAGGAATCAATTGGAGTACAGAACTAGCCCTCCTCTAGAGGGTTTGCAAACCTCAGTATGGAACAGGAAGCTCCGAGATTAACTGAGGAAGAGAATGAATGGATAGCACCTTGGGTCCTGGCAGGGGAAGGGCCCTCTCTTACCCTGGAGTCAGCCGGCACCAGCCAGCCTTTGTTTCCACAGGTCCCGTGTAAACATTGACATTTTCCTTAATGTCCCTGCTCTTCTGTTTCATACAGAGCCCCCCTCGCCTTTTGTGGAGGCGCTTGGTTCCTTGGTCTTTCCTTCCTTCCTTTCTAACCTTCCTCCAGAAGAATTGAGAAGGGGAGGGGAGATCTGTAGAGGGGGCAGAGCCCATCTCAACCCTTCTGGGTCAGAGTAGCTCATCCTCCTAAGGGGAACCTTGAAAGAGGATGTCCTCCATGTTCTTGATTGGGATGGACGCCTTCCCCCAGAGCAGGAACAAGGCAGGTAGATAGTCCAGTACCAGGGGACAGTGGTCTTGATGGGTGAGGCCACAAGCATGGAGGAGCAGGGAAGAAGGCTTCATGAGGCAGGAAGTGGGGGCACATCTGGAACTGGTCTGGCACTGAGGGTGGAAGCCCAGCCCTGGACTACCCTTCCCATCACTGGGAAAGTGACCATCATCACCTTACAGTCCTGTTTGTTACAGCTGTGCATCCACAAGACAAAAGGTCTTCTCCAGGTCTAGGTGTAGCTGCAGCACTCATACCAGCTCATACAATAGAATCCCAATATTCTGCGTGGCCTCTGAGGGATCAGCAATGGGCTTGTTACACACGGGGCTGACACAGCGAACTTCCAGCCATTTCACCAGACACCTGGGAGGCTGAGGCAGGAGAATTGCTTGAACCTGGGAGGCAGAGGTTGCAGTGAGCCGAGATCACGCCATTGCACTCCAGCCTGGCAGCTTGCGGTGAAAGGCGTGTTGGCACGGGAGCACACCTAGCTCATCCTTTCCCTTGAAGTCTTCCAGACAGACTGCGCAGGTCTGCCCATATAATTGTAACTTCTTGGCATCACCTTTAACCACCACCTCCTTATATCCATATCGCTCACTCTGTGCCTGGTTCCGGAGTTTGCTGATAAAATAGTAGCAGAAGATAAGGCTGAGCATGAAGACAAAAATGCCGGTGCCGAAGATCACCATGTAGATGTTGAGTGGAAGGTCCTGGAAACAGATGGGTGGCATCGAGCAGGACTTGGTGCTCACCAGTCCCAGGCCACAGAAACACCCGTTACACCACTGGAATGGGTGCATCAGTGAAGTCGCGGCTGGCTTCCTCAGACTAACGGACGCAGGCGGGGTGCCAGGAAGGAGAGGTGGGCGCACCGGCAGCGTGCGGGGCCGCAGGCGGGGTCGGGGCAGCGCGCTGCAGCAGCCCTTCTGCAGAAGCCGAACTCCCTCCGGAGTGGGGTCCTTTGGCGAAGCTGGTGTTCCGCGCAGCAAAGGGGTGAGGAGGAACCAAAGTCCCGCGGAGCAGAGCCGCGCGGAAGACAATTTAGCTCAACTTAAGAAACATGAAATCAGGAGCTCGCTATACACTAGCACCGGGCCCTACAGCTAGAAGAGAGAGACACGCACACTTTTTTTTTTTTTTTTTTTTGGCAGTTAAATACTATGAGAAGGATAAGATAATACCCTTCATCTTGGGTGTTTTCTAGTTCATATTCTCAAAGAAAGATCACTTCTTTGTTTTGGGAGGGGTGAGCAGACTGCCTGGGTCAGGGTCCCTATCATTTGCTGGGGGCAGCATTGGACGACATCGTGGTTTCTTGGAGGTTCATGTGGCTTTCGGTGCAGCAGGTGCAAGATTAAGGCAGTTTGTGCATCACTTATTAAGACAAATTCCCTTTGTCTAGTGCTGTGACTGTTGGCCTGATGAAGGGAAATTGTGAGAAATTTTGCTTGTTTCAGAACTTCAGCTTCCCGTTCTGGCCATCCCCTTGCCTCTGCTAATGTTATTTGTGTCCCGAGGTTTGAAATTATTTGGTTTATTAAAGGGATCCTAATATGAGGCGCTCAGTCAGTGTCACCTCATCTCCTAAGTACTGCCTGCAGCTCCGGGAGGAAGGGATTTAATGGACTCTGGTTCCTTCAGGAAGCTTTATTTGAAATTCATTTGGGCACAGAAATTTTATGGGTACAACCTGATCCAGACATTGCTTAATGAAGTTCTAGGCAGGATGTACTGTCAATGATCTGTGTCTTCTCAAATCCTCAGTTAAGCTCCTCTGATATACCACTAACTTTTAGAAAACCAAAATCTATCACCCAAATTATAATTAATCTTAAGAATAATGAGGTAAAAAGGCACATTCTTTTTTCCTTTAAGTTTTCTTTGTTTTGCTAACAAAGAATTTTAAATTGTGGCTATAGCATTTAAGTGCATACATTTTGAATTTACTTAATGAAGTTCTGGCAGGTATGGAAAATAACACGAAATCATTAGCAAATCAATCAATTAGAGTTTTTTGTGTGTGATAACATCTATAGTATAGATAACATTAAATATCTATAGTATAACTTTCATTTATTCTGTGTCAACTATTGCTTAGAGTAATTCAGTATCATAATCTACATTTAACTTGTTCTACTTTATAAAGGACTTTAAGATAGCACAAATTATCTTCCATAACATATTCTATGACACTGGTATTATCATCCCACTTCTTATTTGAGGACATTGAAATTTAGGAAAGATTAGTTAACTAATTTCACAAAGTAGTGGTCCTAGGAAAGAAACATGTTTTAATAACCAGCCTAGGGTTTTTTCCATTAAATGATCAGATTTTCTGCTATTATGTTTTTGGTTTTAATTAATAGACATATTGGTTCCTACTGACATTTGGCACATCTGGCTTTCTGTTCTTCAAGATCTTCCAGTAGGCTCTTGGCACTCAAATATCAACCAGTGCCAGGCAGCTAATGTCAATGAGGGTGGCGGGCTGGGTGTTAGAATAGGGAGTGGTGGGGACAATGGCAAATTCAAGAGTGTACACTCCACTTAAAAAAGGGTTCCCTTACCTATTCCTACTGGGCATGCTAGCCTGGTGTTGCAAAATCTTTTAAAATTTGAGACAAGCCAGAGATCTGGATTTTATGTGAAATCTCTCTAAGTATTGGCAACCAAAAAATTTTTTTTTTTTTTTACTTTTTAACTCTGCAAGCCAAACAAAACCCATCTACGAGATGGATTCAGCTCATGGCTACTAGTTGTGACATGGGCTTGCCTTCTATTTTTTTGGAGGTACATGTGGAGGAGGAGTGGGTGGGGGGGATAAGGCCAGCGTTACTTACTCAGACTATAGGTGCTTCTTTTCCTGAAGGCAGGAAGTCTGAGCAAAGTTAGGGAGACTGTGGGTTTCCAGGCTGCTTAATGTGGGCTGTTTTGGGACTGCCCTCTTCTTGCACAACTATCTGAAATGAGGGAGACTTCCTTATAATTAGGGGCTGACCACTGGGCACCGTGTCGTTGCTCATGCTCTAGTAGTTGTACATTGTTTAGTATCTTTATTATTATTTCTTTGCTTCCTTCATTCCTTGCCTCTTTTTGGGGGATTTCATTTTCAGTTGAAGATGAAACTGAAATCAGTAACATATGCAAACTTCCCAGGCGGAAGGCTTTAGAAGAGAGTGAACTTTTTTTTTTTTTTAAATTATAATTTAAGTTCTGGGATACATGTGCAGAATATGCAGATTTGTTTCATAAATATACGTGTGCCATGGTGGTTTACTGCACCCACGAACCCGTCATCTACATTAGGTATTTCTCCTAATGCTATCTCTCCTCTAGCCCCTCACCCCCTGACAGGCCCCAGTGTGTGATGTTCTCCTTGTGTCCATGTGTTCTCATTGTTCAATTCCCACTTATGAGTGAGAACATGCAGTGTTTGCTTTTCTGTTCCTGTGTTAGTTTGCTGAGAATGATGGTTTTCAGCTTCATCCATGTCCCTGCAAAGGACATGAACTCATTCTTTTTATGGCTGTATAGTATTCCTTGGTGTATATGTGCCCCAATTTCTTTATCCAGTCTATCATTGATGGGCATCTGGGTTGGTTCCAAGTCTTTGTTATTGTGAATAGTGCTGCAATAAACATACATGTCCATGTGTCTTTATAGTAGATTGATTTATAATCCTTTGGGTATATACCCAGTAATGGGAGTGCCAGGTCAAATGTTATTTCTGGTTCTAGATCCTTGAGGAAACGCCACACCATCTTCCACAATGGTTGAAGTAATTTACACTCCCACTAACAGGGTTAAAGTGTTCCTATTTCTCTACATCCTCTCCAGCATCTGTTGTTAGGGTGAACTTGTTTTAAACTAGATTTTCTTTTGTTTGTGTGACCTGTGGATTTTATTTATTCAGTTTCCTGTCCCTGTAAGCATAGAAAGTTGAAAACTAATTTGATTCAACTTTCCCAGATGCAATATCATGTGTATTTTATGTTAGTTTTTAAAGTTTTTGAATTTTAACCAAACTCAGCACAAAGTGACTATGTTACTGTTGTATGCCCCTGCTCAGCTGCACAAATATATAAGCATTAGACTCAGTTTGTCTTTATTGTAAAGAAATTCAGATCTTCTCTGTGTATCTAATAAAATTCCATCCAGCTTAACATGTGCTGTGACCAAGAGATTCTTTTACTTTATCAATGTAATGGTTTGAACATTTTTGATCTTTGGAGATACGATGAAAAGATGACAAAAGCATGAAATGAAGAAGGTTCACAAACTCCAGATTAAAAACTATCATTTGCTGAGCACTTACTATTTGCCAGGCACTGTGCTAATACTTTACAGTTATCCTACATTATCTCATTTAATCCATTAAACCATGAGCAATGTACCTTCATTCCTATTTTAAAGATGAGAAAATTAAGTCACAGAAAGATTCAATACTTTGCCCAAGATCCTATGAGCAGTCAGGGATGGGACTTGGATTCAAACTCAGGCTAATTTTATCCACAAAGTGTCACATTTCTAACCACCATGTTATATAGATAGCATCATTATCAAAGAAAGAATGATTTCCACTTCTTCAGGAGCTATGCAACAGAATAAGCCAAGAGAAGAGAACTTGTTGAAGTGAGATGTGAATATCACTCTGTGTAATTAAGATGGCGCAAGACCCTTAGCCGATAGAGCAGAAACACACTGGCTGTACTTAGCAGGACACTGAATGCCATGTACTTTCTAGGACTGGTGGAGAATTAAACTGGAAATGCTGGTGCAGCAGCAAACTCCTCTTGCTTGCTGAGGAATGTATGTGTGAGAATATGCCTTCAGCAGTCCATGACTTTGGTGTTAAATGACCATTGGAGGAAACAATGTCAAGTTTTATGATAAGGTGGAATATTGATTTCTGTAATGTTTTGCATGAATTTAATGGCTGTTTTGTGTTTCAGTATGTAAATGTGCCATAATTTATTCAACCAGTTCCTATTAAGAGATACTGAGAATTTAATATGTATATATTTTCATCTCCAACAAATTGTTGCCGTAACTAATCACTCTGAATTGTGCTTCACCATCTCTAGACTCCCATTTGGATTTTAGTGTTTGGTATCACAATAGTCACAGTGCATTGCATTTGTGAACGATAAAATCCAAATACTTCATCTTTGGCAACCAAAGTCTTCTGTGGCGTTCCATTTCAAGACATGGGTAGTTAACATGATAGGTGCCAAGATCTGTAGTTGATCCTATTCTGTACTGTTTGTGCTGCCACACAAACTGATGGTGAAATGGTTTGCTTTTAGCACGTAGCCAACCTGCTGAAATCAACATAACTGGGAAATATGGAAGAATGAAACTGTTGTCTTAACACTTGTCCTTCTTGAATCAGCAATTAAGTTATAGCTTTATCAGTCTTTATTGGTCAAGTGTTTGCTATCTGTGGCTTGTTAAAATGCTGGCAAGTTTTAAAGCCTATAGTGGGACAGTTTACATATATTTTGTTTATTGGGTGCATTTAATTTGGAAAGACATTAATGAGGCTAAATTAAAATAGATATTTTATGGCTGCTACTGTTTTTCCTAGTAGCTGTTAATGTATGTAGCTAGTAAGATAAAAGAAACAAAGAATTTAAAATTAATAACCTTGGAAGAAATTCCAGACTGGGTACATTTGGGATTGCCAGGAATGCTCTTTTGTGATGAAGTTGTTGGATTATCATCTCAGCCTTTGCTTCCTTATTGGATATTAGTGTAACTAATGTGATAACTTATTCAAGTTTGTGATAAATGATTCAAATGGTACAGAGTATGTAGGAAAAATAAATACTCCTTACTCCTTTGAGTGCTCTTCTGAGCAACTCTGTATTGACCGATTTTTCTTTTACTTTTCTAGAAACTATCTATGACTACAAATATATTTAATTATTGTCACATTGGCATCTATGTAGCATGTCTTTATCTATTATATTTAATGATAGACCTATTTAATCTTACAAACATCTAACTTTGATTTTCCATAAATGGGATGATAATGTTCTCAGT